ATTGACATTTTAATCAATGGAAACTTATTTCAGTACCGTTGATATCGTATCAATGAATGAAAAGTTAGATGTACAATGTAACTCAAATTTCAAACTAGTGACCGAAAAAATCCAGGTATAAACTGTTAGATTTATTTGTCTATGTAGCAAGATCTATTGACCGAAATATTTAAATATTTATTTTATTGAAATGCATGATTGGTTTACTATATTAAAGGATAATTATGTTGCGTAATTTCTTGATGAAACGGAAGCAAACGCTTTGCACAGAGTGATACAGAAGATAAGCTTGTTTCATTGATGTACTATTAAATCATTGTTTGTCATTAAGAATGAATGTTTTAAAAGAGAAAAAAAAGATAGCAATTGCAATTTATGTAAAAAGGAATATTTATACAGTACATTGAATGATAAATATGAATCTTTTCAATTTTTAATTTTGATATATTATGATTAAAGCATATATGTTATATTGAGTTATAAGTATGTTTGTATGGTAAACAATTGTGTAATTACCATGGTCAACATTTCATAACCAGAGGAGGGACGACACTCTGCACACCGCACGCATATTGGATTTATATTATTGATCAGCGGGTAGAGGAGGGATGACAGCCCAGGCGCCATGTGCAAAAACTTTTCAGGTCACATGGTTCAATTTTGGTTTCCATTTTACAATTTCAGAATATTGTAAAAAATCGACTTGTTCATCACCTGGACAGTTGAAATTTGTCGAATGAGATTATAAACATAAGCAGTAATATACAGTTATTATGATTATACAATTAACATACATGTATACATAATTATCGAATTTGGTATTTGTCATTATTTTCTGAGAATATACAAATGTATCCCCTTATTTTACTGCTATTTTCTGGGGCCTTTTCCGTACGACATGGACATTAATTAAATACTTGTTTATTAAAGTCATTTAACTGATATTGAGCTTTTATTCGAGTCAAAACTTTAATTTAATACAAAATTATAAATATTGGACTCTTTATTCAATCATCATTAGAAAAAAAAATAAGACTATACAATAGAACGAAGCCGACCAATACACAAAAAATATTTAGCTTTTTTACAAGTTTTTTGAGTGAACATTTTCATTTTATCTTGAATATATTTAAAATACACAATAAATGGTTTTTGTGGCTAAGGTTTACATATTTACCAACAGATTTGACAATTTGTTTGGAAATTCTATTCGAAAATCGTCTTTTTTTAGCATCTTACTATGCAGCAACGGATGGAGACTTAATTTTTTAGGCTGTTTGAACAATATTCTTAACTGTTATAAATTTCGATGATTTTTACTTACGAATGAATGAATAATAACAGAAATTTGTGCCTTGTATTTTTACACCCCTAAAAAAAATTCCCGCCATTATGGAACATAATCTTTATAGATACAATTTACACAAAAGAAGTAAAATTTTTATGTAAAAGAGATTTTCGATCATCAATAAATCTTTCCATGTTAAAAGTTGCTATATTTTCCATGATTGCATTAGAATATTTCTGAAATTAAAACATGAACAAATTGATCTTTTACAATATTGAAAATTGTAAAACTGAAGCCGAAATGGAACCACATGACCTGAAAAGTTTTTGCACACGGCACCTGGGCTGTCGTCCCTCCTCTAACTAAATAATTCTGGTATTTGTGTCATTTCTCAAGAACCATGATGATAAACCAATGATATTTCATAATGGTGTTATCTTTCAATTTTACAAAAAAGGGGTTTTGGCCATTTTACCTTTATTTTACAAGTGAGCAATATTTTAAAAGTTTTCATTCAGTTACTTTCATGATTTTTTCCAACAACCTATATTGTCATTCTTCAAAAGTTGCTTCCCTTTTGTTGGGTTTTTGTAAGAATAATCTTTCTTTCAAGCAAAATACTTCATTTGGAAAATAGTGTAATTTTTTAATTTTGTGTAAATAGCTGATTTCTATGCCATAGGTATATAAAATATAATTGTTACCATTGATTTAAAAAAAAAAAAAATACTACAGTATAAGAACTTTTGTCTAAATTGAAGGTTATTCATATTCAAAAAATTTAACATGACAAAACAGGAAAATTATATTAAATTAGCATTATATCAGATTAAATATATTATGTTTTAGAACTGCAAAATTAATTAATTGTAAAAATGTTTTTTAAGGAAGTAACTGTAAAAGCTAAACACAGCTAAGAGGATTCTTTATATGTTAGGAAATAAAGGTTAGGAAAAGACTATTTAGCAAAATCGTTGGTGTCTTCAAGTAAAATCTTACAATGTTTAAAAACATACATTACATGAACCAAAGAATTTTAAATATTTCACTTAGCTTTTATAAATTTTTAATAAAAATGAAATCAAGAAAACTCAACAATAATTATGTGTTTGTGGAGATTATTCTAATTGAATATGGGATAAACAGTAGCTCATTATTTTCATCAAAATGAAATTCAACAAAATTTTGAAGTATAGATATATTTTCCTTTGCATGTATAGTAAAAATAAAATTTGAAAAATATCTAATCTTAACTTTAGATTTATCCAAGTATAGCAAAAGAATTATAAATCTTTTCATTATTTCAGAATTGTTTGCTGTCTGTCCTATATTTTTGTCCTTAATTATTGATATATATCTGTTGTTTGCTTAGAAAGGAAAAAAGAAAATATTTGCCATTTGGATGTTAAGCGGCCATAGTCGCTCAATTTTTATCAGGTTTTGTTTTATAAGAAAGTTTACAATGTTTTAATTCATGAGTATACATTTCATTCTGATATATAAATATATATATGGATAAACATGAGTATACATTTCATTCTGATATATAAATATATATATGGATAAACAGATATGTGAGGTATATGCCAATTTGAAAGCAACTTAATACACAATTAAACCAGATGTGACATTGTAATACACAATAAAACCTGAATAGACAAATAAAGATCAACATATAACAATATAAATACTAAATTTGAATCTCATAAGATTTGAATTTCATAAAAATTGACTCGACGTATGTTTAATCTTTAAATTCTTCTAACTAATTTTTAAAATGAAATATTTTGTTACATGTTTCATTCAGGAAAATTTGTCACACAAAATCGGCATTTAATATGAAGTATTTTCAATTTAACAAAATGAATGAAGAAAAAAGTAAATTGATTTTCAATTTGCACTTTTGTAATATAGATTTAGATTTATTGTAGTTGTTGATCAGTTATTTCCACTTATAAATGTAATTATTTGCTTTTTCCACATGATTGTAATATCTCATTGTAACGATTAGCACTCTTTTAATGTAATAAAATGGAGGTTGATGACCTTTTCTTTGTTGCAAGTTCATTGTCAGAAAGAACAAAAATAAAAATGTTAAATCTAGCATGGGTATATTACACCCTTAAAAGTGTAGTAAAGTTGTATTTTTTATGCTTGTGTTTAAATGAAGCACTCATATAAGATTATTTTTGAAATTAAAAAAAATTAAGATTATTTAAAAAAATATATGATTATTTTCAAAAAGATGGTGATACCATACTGTTCCCATTATATTTTCCTTAGGGTTGGTACCATAACCTTATAGTTTAGTTGTAGTATGAATTATAATTGAGATGTAAGACAAAAGAACCAACAACAGCAAACATTTTAGATTTTGATATTTTTTTGCCAATAAAATGACTTCTTGATAAATTCTTGTTTGTTTTCAGTACTTATATCATAAGGTTTTATTATTCATCTTCTGAAGAAAAGAATTCTACAGATTGCAATATATCAATTATGAAAAAAAAATCCTTTCTAATTTCAAAAAGTTAAACTACATATTGCCTTCATTTGTTAATCCCAATTATGAAAAAAAAACCTTTCTAATTTCAAAAAGTTAAACTACATATTGCCTTCATTTGTTAATCCCAATTATGAAAAAAAACCTTTCTAATTTCAAAAAGTTAAACTACATATTGCCTTCATTTGTTAATCCCAATTATGAAAAAAAAACCTTTCTAATTTCAAAAAGTTAAACTACATATTGCCTTCATTTGTTAATCCCAATTATGAAAAAAAAAACCTTTCTAATTTCAAAAAGTTAAACTACATATTGCCTTCATTTGTTAATCCCAATTATGAAAAAAAAAAAACTTTCTAATTTCAAAAAGTTAAACTACATATTGCCTTCATTTGTTAATCCCAATTATGAAAAAAAAATCCTTTCTAATTTCAAAAAGTTAAACTACATATTGCCTTCATTTGTTAATCCCAATTATGAAAAAAAACACCTTTCTAATTTCAAAAAGTTAAACTACTTATTGCCTTCATTTGTTAATCCCAATTATGAAAAAAAACACCTTTCTAATTTCAAAAAGTTATACTACATATTGCCTTCATTTGTTAATCCCAATTATGAAAAAAAAAAAAACCTTTCTAATTTCAAAAAGTTAAACTACATATTGCCTTCATTTGTTAATCCCAATTATGAAAAAAAAAACCTTTCTAATTTCAAAAAGTTAAACTACATATTGCCTTCATTTGTTAATCCCATAACAAAATATTGTTATATTACATTTATTATAAAAAATGTAGAACAAAATTATTGCTCTAACAAAAGTAAAGGTACCAAGACAAAAGAATTAATGGAATAATGTTCAATATGAAGTGTTTAAAGTAGATTTGTATATTATTTTTACCTTCTTTGCCAAAAAAATAATTTTTTACTACTCACTGTTTGTTTTCAGTACCTAAGGCTATTTTGCTTGTTTGTTTGTTTTTTAAATTATCTTATACAGAAAATCAATCTGCAGGATCCAAAATATATTATTCCTGACAGAAAAAAAAAAATAATTAAAAAAAAAGTTTAAATTACCTTCATTTGTTTATAGCTATATCACTCCCATAACATAACACTGCATTATTTCACAGCTTCATGTAATAATGAATTATAATGCACATTACCTGCATAATATAAAATCAAAACAAACCAGTTTTTTTTAATTTTCAGATAAAACCACAAATGGAACAATGCTGAAAAAAAATCTATGAAAAGTAAAGAAAAGGTAAGTTTCTACTTTCATTTTTTCACAACATGTACTTTCATTTTATCCTTTTAATCATAATAATACATCTTTTTTTACCACCTACCTTCTTTTGATGCATCGTTCTAGTCCTTGATTATTCAGTCTAACTTGGAAATCCCCATTCTAATGGTTTTCCCAATAGTCAATGCTAGAGCTCTTTACAATTAAAACCAGAAGCTTATGTCATCGCTTGCATTGACAGAGTGATCTCCCCTAACTCAGCTGCCCCAATATTTGTACTGAGTGATTGATTTTTATAGTATCGTGTAAAAACCAGCACAATTACAATAGTAACAACAATATCATCATCGCTATTAATAGAATAATGAACTCTTTGTCGTGGTTTCCAATGTTGAACCTCACTTTTTTTATTCAAATCAATTCAAAAGTTGAGTCATATGTCGTGGAACAGAAATCGGTGCATTAAATATCCAATAACAGGATAAATCCAAGTAACTGGTAATGAGCTGCAATTATATAAAGATCATTATCTTTTTAGTCTGCGACAAAATCATCTGGTAAAATTGTTTGCAAATGGATAATCATATGAATTAATTGTTATAAAATCTGATTTTGTTGATTTGGTCCCACAAAATGCGGAAATGATTAACTTCTGGGGCCATGTAGAACTAAATAGAAGAAGAACAAAGAAGAATTTGATGAATAAATTACAAAGATTCTGCTGAAAATTTTCTGATGCTGAAAGCAGTCAGGTGTAAAGTAAAAAAGATGTTGTGAAAATTTCCAGATAATGTGATTTGTATTAGTCACATAGTAAACAGTAACATAAATATTAAAGGAATCAATAGAACTCTTGACCTTGAACTTATTGTATCCTATTGTAGGTCAGTAGAACTTTAGGCTGCTTCATGCTCTTTGGTACATGACCTTGTAAACAATAGAAATTATTAAATTACTACTTGAGAGTTTAGATGTTAATAATGATAACTTGTTTATTGCATAAGGATAATAGTGATAAAAGATAGTTTTACTTTACAGATCAATAATGCAAGATATTTAAAATAGATTGAGTTTATTCATTTTTAGTAAGAAAAAAAAACATAATAGAAAAAATGGAAAAATGAGATGAATCACTTTGAGATAAACATAGAGTACTTTTATTGTTGAAAAGAAAATTTTACATAGTTTATTCGGATATGCATAGTTTATGTATTTGATAAATACATGTTTATTAAAAACTTTTATGTCCACATGGCTTCAATAGAATTTACTAACCCTATTCTATTGCAAAACAAAAAATATTTTCTTTTGTTTTTTATTTGTTAGAGTCTTAACTAGCATTGATTCCATTTAACTTTCCAAAAAAGTAGTTTAAAAGAAGGATTTCTATATACTTTGTGTATCAGTTGATACAAATATGTTTGATATATAGTTATTCAATTCAAGTAGATAAATAGATTGAAAATTTTTACTGAATGTTAGCCAATTAAATCCAATGACACAAAGAAAATACAGTGTTAGCCAATCATATTCAATGACACAAAGAAAAAACGTTAGATTTCCATAAAAGCCTCTAGGTCAGAAAGTTCAAACTGCTGTAAATTACTCAAGATAGATAAAATAGAAGCAAGGGAACACAAAGAATCTTGAATGTAAACAAAATTTCATAAACGACACAGACAAGAATGAGATTTTGACATGATCAGAAGTGTCGAGTCATATTTGAAGTCGTGGATACTGACAACAGTATTTATTATGAATCAAGATCAGCATTAGAATATTTGTTTTTTTTTTTAGGAAATCACTGATTTTTGTCTTTTATATTAAAAATTATAATAGATAAGTAGAAAATGTACCCAGCATAAATGATCAGCAATAAAAGGTATAAAAAATGCTTTACAACCAAAACCATTGGATAGCCTTATAGGAGTTATTGCCCTTAAATGACCAATATCCCTGAAAAAAATCAACTGCAGGTACAAGTGCATTCAAAAAAGATTTAAAAAGATACATGTTGGAACATTGAAGCTGTATAATTTTATATGCATAATAATTTTTCACACACTTTCTTAAATTTTAAATATTGTTGAGGTAATTTGAATGATGCCTGAATACTATATAAATTCACTATTTTTACATGTTTTGAAAATTGTAAAGTTCACAACAATTTCTCATTTTTTCTTATGTGTGTGTTTGTTTGATTATTTTGTAATTCTTTGATTGTTATATTTCAATGAGGGCCTCAGGGAGGATTAGTTTTGTAGCTAACTCTGTAACCCTCTTGAAATAAAGAATTATTATTATTATTATTAAAGAGTGTTCAGCATAGTCATTTTGAGATATGGGCCCCTTGGTCATAAAACTTTTTTCAGTACTAGGAGTACACAAATTGTGCTTGACACACCAAATCCAATATTTTGATTGGTGGATTTCTGAGTCTGAGTAGGATAATGGTGCTCGAAATGTTTATGACCTCAAGGCCAGATTCATGTAGAGAACAAATGAATCAAGTACATTTTAAAATGAAATACTGAATTTGGGCAAAAAGTAAAAGAATGTTAGCTTTGGAACGATATATCCAACATCCATCAAACTTAGATGGAGAATACCACTTAGAAGGAAGAAGACCCTTTTGACTTTTTAGGCATTATTTTAAAGGTCAAGGTCACAGTACCATTATTTAAGGTTTGAACACAATTGTTTTGATTTCTACTTAAGGACAATATCTTTTGAGCATTAAATCAGATTTTTTTCTACTTTTGGTGAATAATGTCAAGGTTACAGCAGGATTTGAATTGATTGTCCTTGAAAATAAATCTGTTTTTAAAATACAAATCCACAAAGATCACAACTCAGCATATGCACCCATGGTGATTTTGTAATTTTGAAAATTAGTGGAAAATTTATGCATCCTGTGCAAAGAAGCACTGCTCATTGAGAATACGATTGATTTTTCGAAAATGATTTTTCTCCTGCCTTTGTATTTCCTCCAGTAAAAAGAAAGGATTATAATTAGATCCCACTACAGTTTGCAAATAGATAACAGAAAACAGTTAATTATCTATTACCCATATCTTTCTTAATTGAGGCCCAAGGAATATTGCATTTTTTCTGGAACTAGTCTGTATGTCTGACATTTAGCAAAAAAGTCGTTAAGAATATATGTCTCTAAGACATCCTTCCTATTAAATGAGATAATTATTTGAAGTTTTGTGATAGTTTCTGTAACACATTTGATCAGACATCTTCCAAAGTTGTCTGGTGAAGCCCAAATTTGCCTGAAAAGTGAGCTCACCAGACACATTTCAAGACCCCTGGATATATAAGATAATGACACATGATGGGGAAGGGGGCCTCGGTGGCCGAGTGGTCTAAGTAGTTACTACTGAAATCCCTAGCCAGTCAACACTGAGGTTGTGAGTTCGAACCCCGCTCGTGTGCGTGCACTCGACTCCAATCTTAATTGACTAGGATTGTCAGTTTTCCTATCGAAGGTCAGTGGTTTTCTCCGGGCACCCCGGCTTCCTCCACCAATAACAACTGGCCACCACAAAATAGCCCAAAAGCGGTGCTTCAAAGTGGCGTTAAAACACCAAAAATCAAATCAAATCATGATGGGGAATGACTTTTTAGATACAAGATGCCACTGTTTATGAAAGTATACATTCAAAACAACATTGAATTTTCAGACGATAAATGTATATACATTTTATTGAATGTATATCATAATTCATTGGGAACTTGATAACTTCTTGTGAGTATTTTAGCTGAAGGCATCAGTAAAAGATGCAATTAAACACAGAAGATGAAGAGAATAAGGCACCTATGTATACAAAAAATGAATTGTTCACCTTTTGAACTTTCTGATTTATGAGAATAAGGTTTATACAAACAGCTAGTGTTTAGTTTAGATAATAATAAAATTGTTTTGAAAATTACTTTGTTTTTTCATTGTATTTCTGACAACTTGCCATTTTTCTCTCATTACCTGAGACTGCTGCATTTGTTTGCACCTGTCCTAAGTCAGGAACCTGATGTTCAATGGTTGTGGTTTTTTGATGTGGTTCATAAGTGTTTCTCGTTTTTTATATAGATTAGACCTTTGGTTTTCCTGTTTGAATGGTTTTACACTAGTCATTTTGGGGCCTTTTATAGCTTTTTGTTCGGTGAGAGCCAGGTCTCCTTGTTGAAGGCAGTACTTTGACCTATAATGGTTTACTTTTACAAATTGTGACTTGTCTCATTGGCACTTATACCACATCTTCTTATATCTGTTTTGCATTTCTAAATTTTCTGCAAATCTGTGAAATTATAAAAAACTTTATTTAATAAGGTAGTGTTATCACATTCAATGCAATCTAAAACTTTTAGATTTAAGAACTTTCTATGAATTACAGTATTACAAGATATCATTGAAGTTTAATTTAAGAATATAATAGTCTTACTAAGATCAATATAAATCAAATATTATGAAGTGATAGATAATATTTCCTGATCCATATAATGCCGATATTTTGTTGTTAAACAAAAAACAAGAGTAGATTGGATCTCCTTGCCCATTGTTTAGATCAGGCACAATAGCAATTGATCTACAATATCTAATGCTTCTGAGGACTTAGTCATGTATTGATTATTGTAACGTTAAGTTTTAGAAAGAACCGTAACCTCGTCTGAGTCCATCTTTGTCTGTTTAAACAGGACTTTATGGGATTTTATAATTTTACTGATTTATTGGATAGTTTTGTGGTATCGATAATTTTGATTGACTTATATTTACCTGTATCTGAGGTAAGTTATCACATATTAAGATCTATGATAGAGAAACAGTCTGCCAGACATCAAGGGTCGGTGTCAAAACATAAGATGTATCAGACATATATGGAGGAAAAGACATTTTTTTTTTAGTTACAGAGAATTGCTGAGTCAGAATCTTCTTGGGAATTTTTTTTTTGCATAAAATAATTTAGAATTGTCTTGTACTTGGATAGATATTATTGAAACTTAACAGTCATCATGAAAACTTTGATCTTTAATAGTCCTGTTCCTTAAATTTTATTAGTTATTAAGATATCTATATTGATAAATTAGTATTTATATTATTTTTTTTGTTTTGTTTTATTTTTGGGTTAAGGGGCCTTGTATTGTTGTTTGGCACCAACTGAGGAGGTAACCCTTCAACTGCTGGGTTTTCTTGAGGGGCAGTTTAGAGAATGGTGAAAAGGATGAAAGATCAATTGTTTATGTCATTCAGAGTGATAGTCAAATATATATTGATTAATTCAGGTGAGGGTCTATAGAGCAAAAGGTCCCTCCCCCTTTTGATCAGAAATAAATTTGGTATAAATTTGTCTTGCTATGCTTCAGCAATATTCTTACCAATGTTGACAATTACAACACCATCCTCAGCACTGGATCTGACCCTGTTTATTTAGACATTGGGCAAACAATGGCTTCCTCTGTAAATGTCACGAAAATTTGGCAGTTGCATACTGAA